GTATTACAAGATCTCGCGCGTACGGACGCGTATCTTAAACGGACGCTAATTCCGTCAATAATGGTCATGAAAAGATAAACATGGTATCAAATTGTTCGGAAAACGATAAGGAATATCCTCGTCAAAAAGACCTACTCGGAAATTATTCTTCGTTTGGCCGCTACGAACGAAAACGCGCAAAAATGCGTGTTTTGCGTGATTTTTATGAAACGCGTAAAATGGCCTGAAACGTATCCAAAATGAATTTGAGGCGATTTGGAGCATTTTAAAATTTGCGCGCGCACTGACGCGCGGACGTACGCGTACGCGCGCGTTTTTTGACCTGATATTGACCTTGATCATGGTAAATATGAATGAGAAATGGCTTTCAGTTATGATGTTATGATCATTTGAGATTTTCCAAAAAAAACACAAAATGGCGCCTGGATGACGTCATGAAGACTTGATGACCTTGAAAAGGTTCCTGTCACGTCTTATGGCAATGACCTATGACTGTGCCAAAATTGAAAGAAATTGACTGGACGGATCTTGAGTTATCGTCGGAACAAAAAAGTGGAAGAAATAAAAATAAAGAAATAAAGAAAGAAAATTCTGACGAAAACAATAGGTGGTCTGTCGAAGACAGACCACCTAATAATAATAAAGAAAATCCTTCAAAGTTCTAGAAAATGTGCAATTTCAACTTTCAATTGAAAATTCTGACATGATCCCAACATCTGATCAAAAAACAAAGTACACCGGTTTTGTAGCCCATGGTCTCAGCTATAACATACCAAAATTTGGGATAAAATGGAGCACGAATAAGCGAGATAGTGCTCAAAGAGTAATGCCATGTAGATTCACGATGTGAACGACATTCACCTTCCATAGAGATGACACGCAAATGAAGAAAATTCTGACATGTCGCCTTTAATTGAAATTTTCACCATGATGACGTCATCAAAATGAAAAACAATGGGCACTGATCTTGTAAAGAATTGTCTCAGCTACAACATATCTAAGTTTGGAAGGAAATCAATCAATATTTACAGAGATACAATCAATTTGCCATACATATGATGACGTCATAATATGCAAATTCGTTTTTTGAGTTCCAAGGCCATTATGATGATGTCACGATATATATAATGGCCAAATGAGACCTAAAATCATATCTCCAACTCATATTCTATCCAAATATGAGAAAAAATTGGGGGTTCTCTGGACTTCTTAAAGAGCTATAATGGATTTTGCATAGGCATGTTTTTGCCCATATATGCTATGTATTACAAGATCTCGCGCGTACGGACGCGTATCTTAAACGGACGCTAATTCCGTCAATAATGGTCATGAAAAGATAAACATGGTATCAAATTGTTCGGAAAACGATAAGGAATATCCTCGTCAAAAAGACCTACTCGGAAATTATTCTTCGTTTGGCCGCTACGAACGAAAACGCGCAAAAATGCGTGTTTTGCGTGATTTTTATGAAACGCGTAAAATGGCCTGAAACGTATCCAAAATGAATTTGAGGCGATTTGGAGCATTTTAAAATTTGCGCGCGCACTGACGCGCAGACGTACGCGTACGCGCGCGTTTTTTGACCTGAAATTGACCGGACGGATATTGACCTTAATCATGATAAATATGAATAAGAAATGCCTTTCCGTTATGAAGATATGATAATGAGTTGAAAGTACAAAAAAAAACACAAAATGGCGCCTGGATGACGTCATGAAGACTTGATGACCTTGAAAAGGTTCCTGTCACGTCTTATGGCAATGACCTATGACTGTGCCAAAATTGAAAGAAATTGACTGGACGGATCTTGAGTTATCGTCGGAACAAAAAAGTGGAAGAAATAAAAATAAAGAAATAAAGAAAGAAAATTCTGACGAAAACAATAGGTAGTCTGTCGAAGACAGACCACCTAATACAGAAAATTCTGACGAAATCAATAGGTGGTCTGTTGATAACAGACCACCTAACTAGAAATTTAATTCGTCATGGGGACGAATTAGGTGGTCTGTCTTCAATTCTTATGATAATGCTCATCTTCAATTCAATTACCCAATAAACAGACGTTAGTGTAAAATGATGTATTAAGATATGGATTGATGAATGAAGTACTGATGAACTGATGAATTGATAGATTGAACTGATATGAAATGAACTGAATTGATGAGCTAAACGGATAAACTGATGAACTGAACTAAACTGATGAGCTGAAGTGATGAACGAAATATCGAGAAAATATCATGATGATGCATGATGATCATGATCAAATTTAATGCAAAAAAAATCAAAATAAGTAGGCCTAATGAATATGACACAAACTCACAAAGTATTGAGAAATAAACTACTTGATCATGATCTTGATTGTCATGATGACGATAATGATAATCATGATGATGATGATGATGATCATTATGATCATGAGCGTGATCCTGACATCTGATTGAAAAAATGAGGGGATATTTAGATAGCATATAGGCTCAGCTACAACATTCTAAAAAATCAACAAAAACCAAGTGGAAAAAAACGGCGATATTGCTCGCAAAAGAGAGGAATGTAGAAACCAGATTTGAGAAAAAAAAGTCATCTCCCATAGGGATTACACGCAAAAAGTAATGGATCAAGTGATAATAGGGTAATACTAAAGAAATTATGGTTGTTTATTACATCATTTGCGATTCTACGTGATTTAAAAGGCAAAGGAGATGGTAGAGTGAAAGGTCAAAAAGAAAAAAAAAGTGAAGAAAAAAATTATTGGAGACGCCTGGACTCGAACCAGGGGTCTCGAGGTCCGAAGTCAAGTGCGTTACCGATATACCAAAACATTTCCCATAGAGATTACACGTAAACGGAAAATAGAATTCTCAAATCCCACTTTGCAATTGAAATATGAGCATGATACCGGCATCTGATCGAAAAATAAATGGCACACTTGTGATAGCTTATTGTCTCAGCTACAACATACTCAAAGTTCAGAGAAAACGAAGCTAAAACGACGGAGATATTGTTCGTGAAAGACTGGAATGTAGAATCCAGTTTTGAGAAAAAGTCATGTCAAATAGAGAATACACGCAAAATGTGAAAAATTGACATGCCTCCTCTAATCGCAAAAATAGGCCATGATGCTTTCGTCAAAATGAAAATCTGTGTTAACCGCATTTGTAGAGGATATTCTCAGCTAGAACATATCAAAATTTGAAAGTAAATCGATCAATATTTACAGAGATACAATCAATTTACCGTAAATATACTGACATCATAATATGCGAATTGAAATTTTGAGTTCGGAGGCCATTATGATGACGTCATGAGTTAATTGAGGGTCAAATGAGACATGAAATCATATCTCCAATTCATTCTCTATCAAAATATGAAAACGAAATTGGGGTCACCTTGCATCCTAAAGCGCTACAATGGATTTTGTAAAGGCATGTTTTTGCCCCTATATGCTATGTACTACAAGAGCTCGTACGCATGGACATTATCTTAAACGGACGCTCATTCCGTTTTTACTGGTCAGAAAAATGTGAACAAGGTATCAAAAGGCTTGGAAAAATGTGTCAAATTCGATGACAGAAAAAATTTAGCAATTCTATGTTGAAAAATGCCATTACGCGCGGAAACGCGCACGCATGCGCATGTTCACGTTTTTTTGCAAAATGCTTAAAATGGCCTGAAACGTATGCAAAATGAATTTGAGACGATTAAGAGCATTTTGAAATTTTGCGTGCGCTGACGCGCGGACGTACGTATGCGCGCGCGTTTTTTTACCTGAAATTGACCGGACGGATATTGACCTTAATCATGATAAATATGAATAAGAAAATAAGAAGAAAATATGAAAAATGTTCCTGTCACGTCTTATGACAATGACCTATGACTGTGTCAAAATTGAACGACTTTGACTGAACTGATCTTGAGTTAACCTCTGAACAAAAAAGGGGGGAGAAATAAATAAAAATAAATAATAATAATAATAAATAAAGAAAGAAAATTTGAACGAAAACAATAGGTGATCTGTCGATATCGACAGACCACCTAATAATAAAGAAGAAAGAAAATTCTGACGAAAACAATAGGTGATCTGTCATTGACAGACCACCTAATAATAATAAAGAAAGAAAATTTGACGAAAACAATAGGTGATCTGTCGATATCGACAGACCACCTAATAAATAAATAAATAAATAAAGAAAATTCTGACGAAAACAATAGGTGATCTGTCGAAAACGACAGACCACCTAATAAATAGAGATGTATTTGTCTTTGGAGAATTAAAATATAAAACAAAGAAGACACTATCACTTTTTTTGATTATTTAGACACATTTTTGACATTGCCTTAATGCTATAATTCATTTGTGACTAAATGAATGCATTATACATGAATGTGTATGTAGAGTGTGTACATGTAGATTTGCTTAAAATAAGTACTGTGATCTAGATCTTCATTCTTGTTTAGTGAGTATTGAATCTGAAGTATACTAAGATACTACTTTCAGACCCATGAGGATATAATTCCCACTATATGAATTGCTCTGAACTTAAAAATATGAAAATTACAAACAAAATGATTTGTATCCACTAGTCTTTAGAGTACTTCCGTAATCTGTTTATACTGAAATTGTTTTACTGCATAAGTAGCGACATGACACTCTCCATCCCCCCAAAAAGCTTACTTAAAAACTTTAAGTTAGTCTTCATTAAACCAAAATATCTTTTCTGAGGCAATCCTTTAAAAGTGATGTTTTTTGCAGAACATCATTTTTTTAACTCGAGCCATCTGAATTCTGTATCTTACACTGCACATGAAAACCCCTCTTTTTATAATACTGTTCCTTTGTCTGCTAAGACTATTATACATTTTCATATAAAAAATTTAACACGTTGACAAAATATTGACAGCATGTTGCTAAAATATCATAACTTCTTAAATTCATCTCCACTGCTGCATGTGTACCTGAATTCATCATGGCATGGATATAGAGTACAAACACACATACATACCTGTAAGGTTGACGCCTTTGCATTCAGTGTAGAATAGAACTCCTCCCGGAAATCCTTTCCATGTAGTGTCAGTTGAGTCAGGTTTGGCATGGAACACAAAGCATCTACTAGGTAATGTGTAGAGGTTGTTGTTGGACAGCTAACATCTGTAAGCCAGACATATTGGACCTACATGTATACAAACAGTGATTCATACAAGTACATTACCAGAGTACACGTTTTCATTGAATTACTGCAAATATAACTGGGTGCTCTGATATACATGTATGTGTATGGCTATGCTTGGGTGACAAATGCAATGGGCTTTATATAGTCAAATATAGGATTTGGATAAGGGCTACAAATAGGTTTGAGCTCAGGTTTAGTGATAGGAATACTTTTTGGTGCAGGGATCAAGTTAAGAATTTGGTTAGTACAGGATGGAATGCACAGAAAAATTGTTGATGGGGCATATGCATTAAACAACAGGATAGAAAAATTATACAGACGTAGTGCATTTTCTTACTTCATACTACATAGTGATGCATTCAAGGAATATATCCTAACAGGTACCCACTTATATTACTTCACCTAGGACAAGTTTGGCAAATGTAGATTAATGTCTTGCCAAACAACATGAGTGCTACGTATGGCAGGGATTCGAACCCCATACCTCATGGTTCATGTCCATACAGTGACCTATCCAATAGACCACGAACACCTCTACATGAACAATGGTTGATAACAATTATTTTAGAATGTATAATACCCATAAACGGGTAACTGATTTTAATAAATAGAGATGTATTTGTCTTTGGAGAATTAAATATAAAACAAAGAAGAAACTATCACTTTTTTGATTATTTAGACACATTTTTGACATTGCCTTACTGCTATAATACATTTGTGACTAAATGAATGCATTATACATGAATGTGTATGTAGAGTGTGTACATGTAGATTTGCTTAAAATAAGTACTGTGATCTAGATCTTCATTCTTGTTTAGTGAGTATTGAATCTGAAGTATACTAAGATACTACTTTCAGACCCATGAGGATATAATTCCCACTATATGAATTGCTCTGAACTTAAAAATATGAAAATTACAAACAAAATGATTTGTATCCACTAGTCTTTAGAGTACTTCCGTAATCTGTTTATACTGAAATTGTTTTACTGCATAAGTAGCGACATGACACTCTCCATCCCCCAAAAAAGCTTACTTAAAAACTTTAAGTTAGTCTTCATTAAACCAAAATATCTTTTCTGAGGCAATCCTTTAAAAGTGATGTTTTTTGCAGAACATCATTTTTTTAACTCGAGCCATCTGAATTCTGTATCTTACACTGCACATGAAAACCCCTCTTTTTATAATACTGTTCCTTTGTCTGCTAAGACTATTATACATTTTCATATAAAAAATTTAACACGTTGACAAAATATTGACAGCATGTTGCTAAAATATCATAGCTCCTTAAACTCTTCTCCACTGCTGCATGTGTACATAAATTCATCATGACATGGATATAGAGTACAAACACACATACATACCTGTAAGGTTGACGCCTTTGCATTCAGTGCAGAATAGAACTCCTCCTGGAAATCCTGTCCATCTAGTGTCAGGTCAATCAGGTTTGGCATGGAACACAAAGCATCTACTAGGTAATGTGAAGAGGCTGATGTTGGACAGCTAACATCTATAAGCACGACACGTCCGACCTACATGTATATAAACAGTGAGTCATACAAGTACATTACCAGAGAACATGTTTTTCTTCAAGGACTGCAAATGTATAACCGGGTGCTCCAATATACATGTATGTGCATGGCTATGCTTGGGTGACAAATGCAATGGGCTTTATATAGTCAAATATAGGATTTGGATAAGGGCTGCAAATAGGTTTGAGCTCAGGTTTAGTGATAGGAATACTTTTTGGTGCAGGGATCAAGTTAAGAATTTGGTTAGTACAGCATGGAAAGCACAGAAAAATTGTTGATGGGCATGCGTTAAAACAACAGGAGGATCGACAAACACAGCCATAGTGCATTTTCTCACTACATAGTGATACAAACAGTGATTCATTAAAGTACATTACCAGAATACATGTATTTATTGAATGACTGCAAATATAACTGGGTGCTCCAATATACATGTATGTGTATGGCTAAGCTCAGTTGACAAATGTTCTGGGCATTATTAAGTCACAAATATATATAGGATTCGCATGAGAGCTGCAAATAGGCTTTGAGCTTAGGTGTAGTCTTACGGTTTATTATAGATTTTAGTGCAGGGTTAAGTTCAGAAATCGGTTAGTTCAGGGTAGTGGGCGCAGAAAATGCATCAAAAAAAGATTTATAGGACTAACTTTTACTATTATAGCTGTAGTACATGCAACTACTGCATATTCATCTGAGTAATTGCATCCATCCACAATATTTATGAACAAAAACAAACACAGGACGCTGAGTAATACCCAGCTCATCTTGAACATAACTACAATATGAAGGTTACGTTAATTTGCCAAATAGATTTTCAATTTCATTAATTTACATATACTTCTAGATCAACATGTATGTTTCTCTTTATATAACTTTTGTTTACTAGCTGTCATCATGTGGTGAGGCTGGTGTGAGGCACTCAACATCATGAAGGCAGAGAGTCTTGATCTGTACAGAAATTGAATGACTGAAATAGGTTTAACCCTATTTAGCCCGGGCTATTTTGAAACTGCATAGCCCGGGGGGGGGGGGGGGCTTCTAAGGCCCCCCCCCTATGATCTCGGTCGTGAAACGCCCGATCGTCGCGAAAATTTGCATACATGTCAAGTGAAGTGTATAGAATACTATGGTAATTTCAATTTTTTGAAAAATTCACTCATTAGCATATTTATGGTAATTTATGCAAATAAGATCATCAAATTCACACTTTTGCCCATAAATCAGACATTATTCATATTTCAAGCATTCTTTCTCACTACATATATTTTTTTAGACCAATTGGAATAATAATACAATACAAAAAATTGAAAATCCAGGGTTATTCCTTACGTTATCTATTGTTTTGATAATTTTTTATGTATTTCTTCGTTTTTTTTAACTTATGTATTTTATTGTTTTTATTGTTTTATTTTATTTCCAACTATAATTCAACTATTTGGACCCAAAAATAAACACCTAATCTATAAACAAGACCAAATAACCAATGTTTTATCTCTTTATTTGAAAAATGAGATTTCCATATGTTTTGTACACAAATCACAAAAATGAGCGATTTTTGGGCTGACATGCAAAGACAAAATGACACGTGACTTCATAATGGTAAGTTTGACTTTCAAAAAATTTCTTTCAAAAGATGTGCAAGACTTGAAAGAAAAAAGTCACAAAATTTCAGTGCAAGATTTTCTTGCGTTAAAAAATTATCGCGTAAAATGTCAAGGGGGGGGGGGGCTTCTACAGCCCCCCCCCCCCCGCCCCCGGGCTAAATAGGGTTAACACTGGTAGATGGAGGGGGAGCAGGAATTTTGTAAACATGTGGTCAGAGACCGCATCAAAGAAAGGGTCTTGTTGGGGCTAGTATTTATTTGCACAGAGTAGTTTTCCCAATATTAGTCCTTTGTAGACTTCATGAAGGCTTTTGATCTAGTTAATCACAGAATTGCAATTGAAAAGCTTATTGGAATAGGTGTAGACGCCTCTATCCTACCAACTGTGTGCAGCTTTCTCAGCGATCGCTCTCAAACAGTGAGGTACCGGAGTAAAGCCTCAACATTGTTGAACCTCACTTGCGGCGTCCCCCAAGGGACCAAATTGGGTCCGATCATTTTTCTCGTTATGGTGAACGATGTGGCCCTTACTACTGAGGATAGGTGGAAGTATGTGGATGACCTCAGTATGTTGGAAGTTGTTCATAAATCACAAGAAAGTTCCCTGCAAACCCACATCGATGCGTTGAGTGAATGGTGCAATGTGAATGATATGAAGCCCAAACCAGAGAAATGCAAAGTCATGCGATTTAGTTTCTTGAGAAATCCTCCACCGAAAGTACCGTTTTCCATCAACGGAAGTCGCTTAGAATGGGTCGACTCACAAGTTCTTCTTGGAATCGCGATACAAGCGAATCTTAAATGGGATCGTCAAGTCCAGACCATGGTCTCTCGTGCTGCACGTAGATTGTACATCCTAAGCGTCTTGAAAAAGAATGGTGCTAATGTAGAGGATTTATTGATCATCTACAAGTCCTATATTCGTCCATTGTTGGAGTTTGGATCACCTGTCTGGGGATCAAGTCTCACCAAGGCTCAGGTTGATGAACTTGAGCGGGTTCAAAAACGTGTCCTCCGCTGCATAGCTTTCCCCAATGTTCTCTCGTATAGTAAGCAACTCATCCTGTATGGACTCACTTCCTTGGAACTAAGAAGGAATGAGCTTCTCCTTCGTTTTGGTGAAGGTTTGCTCCAGTCTGATCGTTATCGTAACTTCTTGCCCCCTACTAGACAATCACAGTCCCGATTACAACTTAGGAACTCTCAAAGTCTTGACATTCCATTTTGTAGAACGCAGAGATATAGGCTATCAACTATCCCTTCTCTGTCAGTCCTTTTGAATTCCTCATTGTAATGCAGTATATCAACTTATTTGTTTATCTATTTATCTTTCTCACTGTTCATAGCTGTGTTACTTTTGTGAGATTTCACGTAATATACAATGATCTTCAATGATCATCTATAATGCAGTTCATTTTAATATGCAAACCTATTTATCATGGATATTCCCTGTTCTTTGATCTTATTCTACACTATCTTTACTACCTTTATTCTTGTCTTCCCTCTCCCCCTCTCTTCTTCTATTCGTATCTGTTTCCTCTCTATTGTTTATAAGATGCATGATTTTTCTTCCTTCCTAGTTTTGAATTCGTCATTGTAATGCAGCTATATCAACTATTTATTTATCTATTTATCTCTCTCACTGTTTATAACTGTGGTACTTTGTTGAGATTACACTTTAAAATGCAATGATCTTCAATGATTATCTATAATGCAGTTCACTTTAGTTTGCAAATTTATTTATTATGGATATTCCCTGTTCTTTGATCTTATTTTCACTTTTCTATACTCCCTTTTTTTCTTGTCTTCCCTCTTCCCCTCTCTTCTTCTTTTCGTATCTGTTTCCTCTCTATCGTTTATAAGATGCATGATTTCTCTATTCCTTGAAATGTCAGTAGGGTCATCACAATTTTCTTTTTTCCGTTTTTTTGTCTTTCTTTCTTCTTTCTTCCCCCTTATAAGCAAATAGTTTTACTGTGTATCATTATCCGTTTACATGCAAGTGTATTCTCAATTCTTTACTTGTATAATTATTCTCTTTAACACGTTGTTGACATATTGCACCTTTCCTCTAATAAATTTGATTTTATTGTTCTTCAATGTAATATAACCATATTACTTTACCTCGTGCAATATCTTTTTGATAATATTATCCTTGTACTTTTAGGTTGTTACATTACGTGCTTTATCATGTTACTCATGCTTTGTGTGAAACCCCTTCTCCTTCCTCTTCTCTTAGGTCCTCATCTTTATCTTTTTCTTTTTTCTTTCTCTTTTCTTAACCCCTTTCCTCAGCTATTATCACCTTTTCCCTCTTTCTTCTTTCTTCACACAATACATTTCTAGTTTCGTCTTTCTCTTTCTCCTTTTTTCTCTCTCTCTCTTCCTTTTTTTTTTGATGACACAGAAGGTTTTTAAGGTTTTTAATGTTTTTAATATTTGTAATATATTTGAATTTTAACATAATAATTGTAATATATCTCGAGTTTGATGTAATATTCGTAATATATTTAGATTTTGATTCAATGTTTGTAATATATTTAGATTTTGATGTAATATTTGATTCTTATTTTGCATAATTTATAGTCGTACGTTTTAGTCATTCATATTTTGTTCGTTTATTGTGTTGTATATTGACTTTGTAAATTGAATTATTTCAGCTTCCCAGCTGCATGTTCTTTTATTTCAATAAACCGAATCAAATCAAATCAAATCTTGTATACTTTTATGAGTTAAATCAGACAGTGAGAAGTCAGAATGTGTATTATTTATAAGTTTTAAAATACTTAGTACCTTCAGGTGATTTTTATGTACATTAGAGTAAGATCAAAAGTGCATGAAAATATAAGGCCCTTGTCAAGAGTCAGGGATAGACAGTCCAATAGGATACGACCATACTGAAGATTCAGGTAAGAGGAAGATCAGGAATTCCTGAGCGTAGGAGCGAATTGCAGTGATTCTACTGTATTTTAGAGGTATGTGAATTAAATGCAAATCTTCTCAGTAAAATATTCAGTATAGCACCTTTTCATTGTAATTCAAATATTTAGACCAGCATTGCTAAAGATAATATTCTATTAGAGAGTTTAAAGAATGATAATTTTATTTACAAGCGTAAAATGATTATGATGATTATAATAATAGATGTTATATTGTACATGAAAGTGGTCTAGCTATAGAACATATACATTCCTTACTATAATTTTCCTTTGTGGTTCGTATTATGTGGCCTGCTATGTTTTAATAATTTGTATGTACTATAGTTCTGTTGAATGAAGACATAATACCATCAAGGCAACAACAAAATAGCTGAATACCTAGGGGGCAAAACCTTAATTTGTGGGTTTTTGGTCGGGACGTTGTAGGTCGGTCGGTATAAACATGATCAGAGGATCT